TAATATCAGATAACAAAATTCCACATTGTGTGTATTTGAATCGTTATTAATAGAATATACCACTGTTTTATGCAAGTGAATTTGAAAAGTTCTGTCAAATTGACCATTTCCTAGAAAACGGCAAAAAGAAATAGTTGAACATCCTCTAACCTTTTAAAGAAATGGGATTGTGCTAATCAAGGACTTTCTTTCATATTATCTAAGCTCTGTAGTTTGTACTGATAATTTTACCAAATATCCTAAAAGTAAGTTTTTCTAAGGTCCTAGAAATTCTTCTTGGGTATTGAAAGAGGAAATAGTGCTCCAACTCACTATTGCCAAAAATCTGACAGGGTAAATATGAAGAGTTAAAACAGTGCTGTGTACTGTGCCTGATGTCTGTAATCCTAGCTATTTGGGAGGCAGAGATCAGGAGGATCATGGTTCAAGACCAGTCCAGGCAAACAGTTAGTAAGACCCTATCTCAGCTGATAAGTGGTGCATGTGTGACACTCCAGGTATGTGGGAGGCCATAGGTTTGGGGATTGTGGTTCAAGGCTGGCCCAGGGCAAAAGTGAGATCTATCTGAAAAAATAACCTAAAGAGCAGTGTGTTTGTGCTGAAAGGTGTTGGGGCCTGCCCTAGGCACACAACTAGTCCAGAGCCTAGAGAAGGTCTGTCCCCTATTGCTGTCCCATCTAGGTCTTATTTCCTTCATGTGGCCCTTCTGGCCTAGATAGTATCTCTAATCTTGTGTGTTCCTGTCTAGCCCCAGAGCCCAAGGTGGTGTTTGCTAAGGAACAGCCGGCAATGAGTGAAGTCAAGGTTGAAGCAGGGGACAGTGCTACACTGACTTGTAAGTTGGCCCAGGCTCAGACACAGGTGACGTGGTACAAGGATGGGAAGAAGCTGAGCTCAAGCTCAAAAGTGCGTGTGGAGGCCTCAGGCTCCACTCGGCGACTGGTGGTGCAGCAGGCAGGCAAGGAAGATGCTGGAGAATACAGCTGCGAAGCTGGAGGCCAGAAGATATCCTTCCACCTGAACATCTCAGGTCAGTTCTTTGTGGACAGTAAATTTCCTTCTTTGATAGAGATTCTGAGACTGACTAATAATCCTGAAGGACCCTGGTGTTGGCATTACACCACCTCACCAGTCTCCTTGTCTCTCAGGCTTGGCTATGTGGCAGGAATGGGAAGGATGTGAATAGCAGGGAGAGGGGCTATCTTTGTGTACCTGGAGTGTTATTTCTATGTGGTAATGCTTTATCACACATTCCCAGCAACTTTCAGGGCCTTGTTCAGAGCTGCACCTGGCTCTGCCTCGTGATTGAAGATTGGGTAGACCAGATGTGTTTCCCTGAGCTATATGAATATCCCGCTGAGTGTGGCAGCTCCTGCATTCCCTGACCTGGCAACACATGAAGGCTCTTGCTAAAGAGAGCTGTTTCTATTTCATTGAAATAAAATAAGGGGGAATTTTGACTACCTAATTATCTTTGTAAGCCATCTGATTGGTAAGTGTACTTTTAGGTGTCTGGACACTCTTCCTTCATTTTTCATATCCAGAGTCTCTGTGTGTCCATTTCTATTGCAGTTTACATCCTTATCACATTGTATTGTCTGTGTGTAGTAAAAAGGAATAAGAGTGCTGATGGATATATGCTTCTGTGATATTAGAACACTCTTTTCACAGGAAATCTTGTTTTCCAAAGGCAAGTTCAAACATTCTATGTTAGTATTCTTCTTGGAGTTTGATTTAGAAAAAAAAAGAGCAAGTAGTTTATGGAATCTCCACCATTGTAAGTTGAGATGAGTTCCTCTAGCGATAACCACCATCTACATGCAGCATTTAGATCTCAGAATTTAACCACCGTCTACATGCAGCATTTAGATCTCAGAATTCCTTAAAAGTTTATCTGTCTCCCCAGCTGGCTATATAGCTGTTTAAGAAATACATTTATTTCCTTTTACTAAGGAAGTCTTTTTTTTTTTTTTTTTGAGTATTGGGGTTTGAACTCAGGGCTTCATACTTGCTAGGCAAGTGCTCTACCACTTGAGCCACTCTGCCAGCCCATGAAGGGAGTCTTATTGTCAAATTGCAATGGCAGAAGTCCTGCATTGACCTGTGGGTGCTACTAGAAAACATTTTAGTGTTGCCTTAGTATGCAATGATTTGTCAGTGTGCATAGAAACCAAAAAACTCTGGATCTTTGCTAAAAGTTTATTTTAAAAGAATATGACAAATTATTTTCTGGTAATGAGTTTGAAAAGTTATGGCTATTTGACTGTTTTCTAGAAGACTATATCAAAAGTGACACAAGAAGAAATAGTACACTTGAATAGTTTTATAGCCTTTTTAAAAAGAACCCATAAAATCCATCTTATCATAGAGAAAAATGTAAGTCCAGGGGCTCACTGGTAATTTTACCAAACATTCTAGAAGGAAATTATTAATTCTAGTGTTTCCTTGCATCATAAGATGACTATAGCTGGTAGTAATGTGTAATACATTTCCAAATAGCTACTAAGAGGATGTAAAATGTCCTCAGTACAAAGAAGTGACAAATATTTGAGGTTATATGCTAATTGCTCTGATTTGATCATTCCACAATGCAAACATGTATCAGAACATCTCATTGTATTGTATAAATATATGTGATTCTTTGTTGATTAAAATGAAAAAGAAATTATTCTGTATTCATAGAAATTCTTCTGAACAGTAGAAGAAAAGACATAGACTCTCCGAATAGTCTTCTGTCAAAACACAATATAGATACTGACATATGACAAGAAAGTGACTAGAATTAAAGTAACAGTCCAGTCTTTTATGGATATCAAGGGACAAGATCAGTGAACTTAACTCAGTGATGCTTGCAGAAGACATTGTGTCATAGATTCAAGAGTGGCATGATGTGGTCAGAGTGAATGAAAAAAACAATGTGATTGTCTCAACTAATGCAGAATAAAAGTGTTTAATGAAATTTAACATTACGAATCAAGAAGTCATGTTTGATAAAATTTAGCATCAATTTATGCCATAACATTCTTAACATACTATATATGAGTGTCCTTAATTTGATAAATACTAGGGAAAATATCAGGTAATGCTACATTTAAAGAGATCTTTGAAAGATTTGTCTTCGAGATAGGGAACAACATGAGGAAGCCTACTGTCATCTTCCCTCCAAAACTAGCAGCAGAATAAGGAGGGAAATAAAAAGTCTGAAGGTTAGAAAAATGTACAGGGACTCACATCCTATGAAGGTCTATCAAGAATTCAAAATATTAATTGCTAGACATAGTACTAAATAAAAAACTAAAATGTAGTACTTGTCTCTGTGGGCCTGGCTTAATTCATTTAGCAGTATGTCCTTCAGCTTCATCCGCATTGTTGCAAATGAAAAAATTTCCTCACTTTTTGAGGATGAATAGAATAAAAACCAGATGATCTCAACTATTGTGGAATCTGAAAAAATTGAATTCATAGAAGTGCAGAATAGAATGGTGATTACCAGAGGCTGGTTGTGGTAGGGTAGGGGGAAAGAGGGAATTAAGAACTGTTGACCAAAGGGTGCAAACTCTTGGAGAGACAGTATGTACTAGTCCATTTTCTGTTTCTATAACAAAATACTTGAAAAGGTTCAGGAGCATGGCATTGCACTTACTGGGCTCTGGTGAGGACCCCATGGCAACAGTATCTTAATGGTTGAATTGTGGAACTGGGAGAGTTGTGGAATTGTGGGAATGACCATATGATTAGACAGAAGCCAGGGACTGGGGAGGGGCTAGGCTTGCATTTTATAACAGTCCATTCTCATGGGAACTAACTCACTCTGAGATCAGCATGAATCCCTTCAGAGGATGATGTCCCCAGAGGCCCAGTTACCTTCCACCTCTTAGAAGTCCTAGCACCTCAACACCACCATACTGAGGAGTAAGCTTCCATCATGAACTTTTTGGAGACATACCACATTCCAACCATAGCACATGAGAAATGAGTTTTGACATCTGCTGCTATATTTCAAAATAACTGCAAGAGTAAATTTCAAATGTTTCATTACAAAATAAGTTTGTGAGGGGATGAACATTTTAATTAGCTTGATTTAATTGTTGTACATTGTGTACATATATCAAAACATCAACATTGTACTCCATAAATTATACAGTTATTATTTGTCCATTAAAACTCATATTAATGAAAAATAAATTTCAGAAATACTTCTGTCTACATATTATACTAGAAACTTACTTGGAAAATGATAATTTAAGATTTACAATGACATCATTTCAAATTCCAAGTTTAACGAGGATGTTGAAGAGTCAGATGAAGGAAAGTTGCCTCGTGTTTTTGAGAGATAGTAAGAAGGCTCTAATAAATGCATAGAAACACATGTAATACCCAGATATGTTCATGTCTAATAAAAATATAAGAAAATGTTTTTCTTTGGTGGATTGAAAGTTATGAAGATTTGAAAGTCCACAGACAGCCAACACTCCTTGAAGAAGAGCCAAGTGCAATAATTGTCTAGCAGGTTCCAAGGATTACATACACCCACATCAATACAAATCAGGCCAAAATGCAGGAGCAAAGGAACAGAGCAGGAAGCTCATGATCAGACTCATGACTAAAGGAATTCCCCTTCTTTTATGCTTTTATGAATGCTTTTTTTTTTTTTTTTGCTGTATTGGGGCTTGAACTCAGGGCCTTCACCTTGAGCCATGCTGCCAGCCTTTTTTTGTGAAGGGTTTTTTTGAGATAGGGTCTTGTAAACTATTTGCCCCGACCGGCTTCAGACTTCCATCATCCTGAATCTCTGCTTCCTGAGTAGCTCGGATTACAGGTGTAAGCCTCCAGCACCTAGTTTATGAATACTTTTTAGCATAGCAGTTGTGTAAACAAATGATGATGTCATAAATGATAACGAAAATTAAGGATGTAAGGGCTAGCAGAGTGGTTCAAGTGGTATGCCTGGCAAACGTGAGGCCCTGAGTTAAGACCCCAGTACTGCCAAAAAAAAAAAGTAAAAACCCTTCCCTAAAAAACCTCCAAAAAAGAAAAACGATATATACTCTCCAACTCATTTTATGTGGACAGTTTAATAGCAACACCAAAATGTAGTGGAGATAGTGTTAAAAATTGGAACCGCAGGTCAATCTTTTATGGATGACAATATCAAAGTCCACTCAAAATGTTGGCAAACTGGGTAGGGCCATATGTCAAGAACATAGTGCTGAAATGCAGTCCATAATCCAGAAATGCAAAATCTGATTTAACATCAGAATGGTGGAGAAATCAGTATCATCTTTCACATTAGGAGATTAACAAAAAAAGTGTTTAATGAATATAGACTCTAGAAGAGACTAATTGAATTTAGAACCTGGTGTAATGGCTTACACCTGTTATCCCAGTTACTCAGGAGGCAGAGTTGAGAGAATTTCTGCTTGAGGCCAGCCTGTATTAAAAAACTTAGACGCAATCTCAATAAATAAGCTGGGTGTGTGATGCATGTCTGTCATTGCAGGTACACGGGAGGCTTGAGTAGGAGAATCTTGGTCCAGGCTGGCTCTAGGCAAAAATATGAAACTAACTGAAAAAAATACTAAAGCAAAAAGATACGAGGTATGGCTCAAGTGATAAGATAACTACCTAGAAAGCACAAGGTTCTGAGTTCAAAACCACAGTACCTTCAAAAAAATTTAGCATCCACTCATGTTATGTATGAGGCTCTGACACCAAAAAAGTTCTTGAAGTAGTAACAAAATAAGATTTCCTACATTTGACGAAGGGTGCTACAGAGACCAAATAGCAAGTGTCACACTCGAACATGCATGCATGTTGAAGCTTTTCCATTAATTGGGAGATTTCAAAGGCCCTCCTGTGACAATTCACTGCAGCATCATGCAGCCAACAAGGAGGAATGTGAAACAAAGCAACACAGTTTGGGCAAAGTACAAGCACATGTCATAGACAATGACCTCCACTTCTATAGATACACCAGCAACAATGTTGGGAAATGATATCTTCAAAGAATTGCCACAGCTACTAGTTTCATGCTTCCGATTCCATGTATGAACATGAAAATGTTTGGGATTCTGAGGGGAACTTGTTATAGGGAGACAATAGAGAAGACACAAATCAATGGTGAGTTAAGCATAGAGACCCAAAGATGTCCATTCCTGATAGCCATCAAAGAAAAGCTTGCCCCTAATGGGCATGTGAAAATTGACGAGTTGATTCCAAGTGCCGAGTGAAGGAAAGACTCTTGAAGAAAGAGAACTTTTGATGTTCCTGATATTGAGACTTGTCATGAAGCTACAGGGTTGAGGAGAGCAGGTTCAATGCAGGCATAGATAAATAGGTAAAAGGAATGGAACTGGGAGCCTAATCACTATCTGGGCATAATGAGACCTCTCCTCCCTTTTTACAAAGATACTGATGTGAGACATGGAAAAAGGATATCTGTTAGTTAAAATGACTCTGTGTTTAAGGTGTTAATGAAACACAATTGTATTTTGTATTTAAACTTGGTCTTATCCCCAAGAAAACTCAATATTTATGTGCAAATATTGGCAAATCCAAAATAATCTGTAACCTGAAATATTATAGGTAAGAATACTCAACTTATATATAATGGTTTTTTTTTGGCTTGTACAGATACCAAAATCTACAGTGTCCTTTTTGACATATTATTTTAATAGACTATGAGCTTTATTTTATGTGAATAAATTTAAAAAGTTTAATGAATTTTCTAGATTCTGTAAAACTAAACTAATACCTATTAAGAAATAGACAATTCACATAGTCCTTCAACCTATTATAAAGATGTATTAAAAGAAAAATTTCTCATTGAACAGAATCTTAGTCAAGTTGCTCCAGTGGTAAATTCTCCAAACAATCTGAAAATTAATTATTCTATGTTCATGGAGATTCTCTTAGAGAATAGAAAAAGGAGCACTCTCTAATTCTGTTTGTGTACATTAGCATAGCATTGGTACTAAAACCTGACCAGTAAATAAGAATTTATATTTTAGAACAATCTATTATGTATATCAAGGCCAATATGATATAAATATTAGTTAGCTGAACTCAGATCATGAGGATCATACACTGTGATGAAATTCATAGTCCAGGATCGTAGCTCTGGTTTACCATTAGGAACATTAGAAAATCAGTATAAAGCTTAATGTTATCTGATTGACAAATTATGCATAAAATATTTGGTAAGACTTAGCATTGTAAATTCAAAAGTAGTGTATCATCAGTCGTGCCATAAAGTATAGTTAAAAGGTTTTTTCTTGACTTCTAAGTAGTACTGCACAAGAAATCACAAGTGAACCCTTGAAGGTTGACTTTGAGGTCAGGAACAACACAAGGAATCTGCCACCACTACTTCCAGCCAACATTGTACAGCACAGTTAGGAACTAAATACAAAAAAAGATATAAGAGTTAGAGAAAAACAACAGATTCTAGATGACATGTTTTAGGTGAAAGATAAATGAATAGACTTTGCAAGAGTTGAGAAAGAAAACAACATATAAAAATCAATATAAATAAACCCTTCATTACATTTAAACTGAAAACATTGCAGAAGAAACTTCATGAGAAAAATGTATGACATTGTGAAAGATAAAAAAATATATCTACATCAGACATGATGGTCAGTTCCATAACATCTCACAATACAATGAGTCATGTAAGTGAATGAGAGAAAGACAGTGCCACTGAGGAGTGAGCAAGAGCCTTGAATCATGACACCACAGAGAACACGTGATAATGTGAAGAGATTGTAAGGTCTCCATGATTAGGAAGAGGCAGTAGAGCCACAGAGGGTCTAGGCTGTCCCCTGATGCAGGGGCTGTTGATGCTAAAAGCAGGCAAACACGGGACATCAGGAACTCTCAGCCCAGTGGTGAGGACATACGTGCATAGTCTTGTGGGAGACTCTCCATTGTCACAGAGGGGCAGATGAACATGCATCACCAGCCAGGTGATTCGCTGGAGGTGCCTGTGCACAGAGACTGTGTCACAGTATACTCCAGCATGACCCCATGGCACAGTAGCAGTATGTGTGAATAAACTGTGAGGTTTTTGGTGGTTTCTGGAGCTTGTTGTGGGCACTCAACTAGGGCAGAGCCTTGAGAAGGTTCTGTCCTTCTGCTGTCATGTCCAGGCCTCCTTGCTTCCTATGGCCTTTCTCTTCTAGATAGTATCTTTGACTGTGTGTCCCTTTTTGTCCTCAGAACCCAAGGTGGTGTTTGCCAAGGAGCAGTCTGCAAGGAGTGAGGTGAAGGCTGAGGCAGGAGCCAGTGCCACACTGAGCTGCAAGGTGGCCCAGGCCCAGACAGAGGTGACATGGTACAAGGACGGGAAGAAGTTGAGTTCAAGCTCGAAAGTGCGCCTGGAAGCCTCAGGCTGCATGCGTCAACTGGTGGTACAACAGGCGTGTAAGGCGGACGCAGGGGAGTATTGCTGCGAGGCTGGGGACCAGAGGGTCTCCTTCCGCCTGCATGTTGCAGGTCAGTTTTGGGACACTGATCACTTCATTTGGAGATGATGAATGGCTATACCCATGGATGAGCTCATGGTCTCTCCATTAGACTTCATTTGTTCAGTTCCCTGTCTTCTACTTCCCATGTTTATTCCATGGTGAGCCTGGGATGTTGAATGGGAAGGGCATGTATGGCAGGGTTAGTGCCCTTCTCATCCTCCTGGAGAGGTGTTCCCAGACAGTAGAGCTCAGTCTTTGTCAGTTCCTAGATCCTCCCTGATATTCCTTAGTGTCCAGGGCCAGGACATTTTCTGGATCTGGCCATGCTTTTTCACCTGGGATCTGTATCTGGCAGCTCCAGGGGGCCGTCATCCAGCACTCCATGAGGGCTTTCCCTAGTTAAGGTCTTTCAATTTCTCTGAATCTGAGTAGGGGAAATGCTGGTATCCCAAGCATACTCAGAATTACCTTAAGTTTGAGTTTAAGGTCATTACAGTTTATCTGTCTAGAAAGTTCTTCTCACCTTTCACATAAGGCCCTCTGTGTAGCTACCTGTGGCAAAGTCTAGATCCACGTTTTGTGGCAGTGACTGTGCATGGAAACCAGCAGTAGAGTGTTAGTAGATGTGATAGTGTGCCACACACCTCTGAGGTTCGGAATTGTCTTCTTAGGACTTATCTTGTTTTTCTTTTGTCTTTGATTAGAACATTTTGCATCAGTAAACCTCTGAGAGTTTGATTTATAAATTTAGAAATGGAAAGGAACATGAAACTCATGCCACATCTACAAATTGTGTTAAAGATGTGCTACTGCAGTGGCACCCCGATTGGCAGAGCAGATTCATTCTGTAGTATTTCCCAATGATACCTGTGTGTCTGTGTTCCCAGCCAAGGCCATGGAGAGGTCTGTGAACTAACACTAGTCTCTTTTGTAAGGCGAGTTTAACCTCAAATAGGGTGGGCTTTAGTTCCACATAATGCCTGGGGCTCCACATGATAGTTTGATATTGCATGTGTAGGTAATGGTTGTTGATGTGAACCAAACAAAAGCTCCACCATACAGAAATTATTTAAATAGAGTATCACATTGTTTTATGCTAGTAAATTTGAAAAATTTTCCAAAATTGGCTAATTCTTGGAAAACTACATCAAAACTTAACACAAGAAAAAATAGGGAACTCAATCTATAACCTTTTAAAGAAGTGAAGTTCTACTCTCAAAAATCTCATACAGGAAGAGTTAAGTTAAGTGGTCTATAGGTAAATTGTACAAAAATATTTTGGAAAGTGTGGCTTTTCTTCTAGAAAACAGAAAGGGGACAGATACTCTCTAACTCCTTACACAAATATGGTATAGTATTGATATCAAAGTCTGACGTGGACAGTGTTTAAAATCAAACCACTCCCTTTTGGATACCAAAGTCAAAGTCTGTAGAATGAATAGAGCAATATGTCAAGAACATAGTGCACCAGGATGAAGGCTGCAAACCAGGAATGCAAGATTGGTTTAGTGTTAGAAAGTAGGAAAATCATAATATATGAGGTGAAGAGATATTTTTAATAGAGCTAAAATAAAGAGTATTACCTGAATGAATGCAGAATAAAAGTACTTGATAAGTTTTTAAATCATATTGATGATTTAATTAATGAAAAGTAGCCTCCACTCATGTTAAAGAGTTCTTTTGCTGGGCTTGTTGCCACAGTGGCAGAGCCCTTGCCTAATATGTGTGAGGTCCTGACAACAACAACAACAAAAATCTTGAATTAGTAACAAAAGGAAACTTAAGCCAGGCACCAGGGTTCACGTCTGTAATCCTAGCTTCTTCGGAGGCTGAGATTGGAAGGATCAAGGTTCAAGGCTAGGCTGGACAAATAGTTTGTGAGACCCCATCTTCAAAGAACCAGAGCAAAATGGACTGGAGGTGTGGCTCAAGTCATACACTCAGGGCATGAAGCCCTGAGTTCAAACAAACAAGTCTCACCAAAACAAACAAACAAGCATTTGACAAAGGATGCTACAGAGAATAATAGCAAGTGTCACACTTGAACACGTATGTTGAAGCTTTCCCTTTAATTGAGAAATTTCAAAAGGCCTCCTGTGACAACTCATTGCAGCATCATGCAGCCAACAAGGAGGAATGTGAAACAAAGCAACACAGTTTGGGCAAAGTACAAGTACATGTCATAGACAATGACCTCCACTTCTATAGATACACTAGCAACAATGTTGGGAAATGATATCTTCAAAAATTGCCACAGCTACTAGTTTCATGCTTCCGATTCCATGTATGAACATGAAAATGTTTGGGATTCTGAGGGGAACTTGTTATAGGGAGACAATAGAGAAGACACAAATCAATGGTGAGTTAAGCATAGAGACCCAAAGATGTCCATTCCTGATAGCCATCAAAGAAAAGCTTGCCCCTAAAGGGCATGTGAAAATTGACGAGTTGATTCCAAGTGCTGAGTGAAGGAAAGTACTCTTGAAGAAAGAGAACTTTTGATGTTCCTGATACTGAAACTTGTCATGAAGCTACAGGGTTGAGAGAGCAGGTTCAATGCAGGCATAGATAAATAGGTAAAAGGAATGGAACTGGGAGCCTAAACACTATCTGGGCATAATGAGACCTCTCCTCCCTTTTTACAAAGATGCTGATGTGAGACATGGAAAAAGGATATCTGTTAGTTAAAATGGACATCTCCCTCATACATCGAAGTTCAGCTCTATCAGAGATTCCAAGGTGAAAGCAAATCCAGTTTTTTTGCATATGCTTGGATTATTTCATGATCTCAGAATAATAGTTCTTAAACAGGAGACAAATATACTCAAACACAGAAAGGACAAATGGACATTTTCCTTTACCAAAACTGAGACCTTTTATGTCATCAGAAGACAGCATGAAAGGGAGAAAAGACAATGACAAAGATTGGGAGATATTTACACACGAAACAGAGATTTACTACATAAATATATAATGAGTGTCTAAAAATGAGCATGCAGAGGTCAGATAACACTGGATTACTGAGTAAAAGTCACACCATGGAAGACTAAGCACTAGAGGCCTTAAACAGAAAAGGTGCTTCATACTGTGAGGCATTGAGATGGCAGTAAAGCTACATGTGGTCTAGGCTCCCCTAGACACAGTAGCTGATGATGTTAAGATCAGAAAAGACCAGGAGAGTCTCAGTCCTGTGGTAGGACTCTTCTGCATGGTCTTGTGGGAGACTGTCCATTGCCAGGACACCCAGTGGTGAGACTCTGTCCTCGTGTCCATAGAACAGCCCCCTTGGAGCAGTGGCTGGATGCATGTGCAAACTGTAGTGGTTGTTGCTGCGAGGCACTTGGGCTTGTTGTGGGAACATAATGCAGAGTCTGGAGAAGGTTCTGTTCCCTAATGGCCAACACATTCAGGCTTCCATCTTGTGGGTGAACTTTCTGACTTACTGTCTTTGACCATATATCCCACCTATCTTTTCCAGAGCCCACATTGGATTTGCTAAGGAACAGTCTGCAAGGAATGAGGTTAAAGGCTGAGTGGGGGCCAAAGCCACACTGAGGTGTGAGTGGCCCAGGAAAAGACAAGGTGACATGGTATAAGGAGGAAGAAGCTCATCTCAAAGCTCAAGGTGCGCCTGGAGACCTCAGGTGCACACGGCTGCTTGTGGTGCGCAGGCAGACAAGGCAGATGCTGGGAGTACAGCTGCGAGGAGGGGGGGGGGGGGGGGGGGGGGGGGGGGGGGGGGGGGGGGGGGGGGGGGGGGGGGGGGGGGGGGGGGGGGGGGGGGGGGGGGGGGGGGGGGGGGGGGGGGGGGGGGGGGGGGGGGGGGGGGGGGGGGGGGGGGGGGGGGGGGGGGGGGGGGGGGGGGGGGGGGGGGGGGGGGGGGGGGGGGGGGGGGGGGGGGGGGGGGGGGGGGGGGGGGGGGGGGGGGGGGGGGGGGGGGGGGGGGGGGGGGGGGGGGGGGGGGGGGGGGGGGGGGGGGGGGGGGGGGGGGGGGGGGGGGGGGGGGGGGGGGGGGGGGGGGGGGGGGGGGGGGGGGGGGGGGGGGGGGGGGGGGGGGGGGGGGGGGGGGGGGGGGGGGGGGGGGGGGGGGGGGGGGGGGGGGGGGGGGGGGGGGGGGGGGGGGGGGGGGGGGGGGGGGGGGGGGGGGGGGGGGGGGGGGGGGGGGGGGGGGGGGGGGGGGGGGGGGGGGGGGGGGGGGGGGGGGGGGGGGGGGGGGGGGGGGGGGGGGGGGGGGGGGGGGGGGGGGGGGGGGGGGGGGGGGGGGGGGGGGGGGGGGGGGGGGGGGGGGGGGGGGGGGGGGGGGGGGGGGGGGGGGGGGGGGGGGGGGGGTGGGGGGGGGGGGGGGGGGGGGGGGGGGGGGGGGGGGGGGGGGGGGGGGGGGGGGGGGGGGGGGGGGGGGGGGGGGGGGGGGGGGGGGGGGGGGGGGGGGGGGGGGGGGGGGGGGGGGGGGGGGGGGGGGGGGGGGGGGGGGGGGGGGGGGGGGGGGGGGGGGGGGGGGGGGGGGGGGGGGGGGGGGGGGGGGGGGGGGGGGGGGGGGGGGGGGGGGGGGGGGGGGGGGGGGGGGGGGGGGGGGGGGGGGGGGGGGGGGGGGGGGGGGGGGGGGGGGGGGGGGGGGGGGGGGGGGGGGGGGGGGGGGGGGGGGGGGGGGGGGGGGGGGGGGGGGGGGGGGGGGGGGGGGGGGGGGGGGGGGGGGGGGGGGGGGGGGGGGGGGGGGGGGGGGGGGGGGGGGGGGGGGGGGGGGGGGGGGGGGGGGGGGGGGGGGGGGGGGGGGGGGGGGGGGGGGGGGGGGGGGGGGGGGGGGGGGGGGGGGGGGGGGGGGGGGGGGGGGGGGGGGGGGGGGGGGGGGGGGGGGGGGGGGGGGGGGGGGGGGGGGGGGGGGGGGGGGGGGGGGGGGGGGGGGGGGGGGGGGGGGGGGGGGGGGGGGGGGGGGGGGGGGGGGGGGGGGGGGGGGGGGGGGGGGGGGGGGGGGGGGGGGGGGGGGGGGGGGGGGGGGGGGGGGGGGGGGGGGGGGGGGGGGGGGGGGGGGGGGGGGGGGGGGGGGGGGGGGGGGGGGGGGGGGGGGGGGGGGGGGGGGGGGGTGGGGGGGGGGGGGGGGGGGGGGGGGGGGGGGGGGGGGGGGGGGGGGGGGGGGGGGGGGGGGGGGGGGGGGGGGGGGGGGGGGGGGGGGGGGGGGGGGGGGGGGGGGGGGGGGGGGGGGGGGGGGGGGGGGGGGGGGGGGGGGGGGGGGTGGGGGGGGGGGGGGGGGGGGGGGGGGGGGGGGGGGGGGGGGGGGGGGGGGGGGGGGGGGGGGGGGGGGGGGGGGGGGGGGGGGGGGGGGGGGGGGGGGGGGGGGGGGGGGGGGGGGGGGGGGGGGGGGGGGGGGGGGGGGGGGGGGGGGGGGGGGGGGGGGGGGGGGGGGGGGGGGGGGGGGGGGGGGGGGGGGGGGGGGGGGGGGGGGGGGGGGGGGGGTGGGGGGGGGGGGGGGGGGGGGGGGGGGGGGGGGGGGGGGGGGGGGGGGGGGGGGGGGGGGGGGGGGGGGGGGGGGGGGGGGGGGGGGGGGGGGGGGGGGGGGGGGGGGGGGGGGGGGGGGGGGGGGGGGGGGGGGGGGGGGGGGGGGGGGGGGGGGGGGGGGGGGGGGGGGGGGGGGGGGGGGGGGGGGGGGGGGGGGGGGGGGGGGGGGGGGGGGGGGGGGGGGGGGGGGGGGGGGGGGGGGGGGGGGGGGGGGGGGGGGGGGGGGGGGGGGGGGGGGGGGGGGGGGGGGGGGGGGGGGGGGGGGGGGGGGGGGGGGGGGGGGGGGGGGGGGGGGGGGGGGGGGGGGGGGGGGGGGTGGGGGGGGGGGGGGGGGGCCCAGTCTTCCCCACCCCCACCTCGGGCCCTCCTCCACTCAGACTCAGCTTGACCCCCCGCAGAGAGATCTCCAGGTCACAGGAGGCAGGAGGACGCAGATGGACAGTCAGTTTCCGGGCAGTGGCAATCTGAAGTTGAGGGAAAAAGAGGGTTTTGAGGGGACTGCCACAGACTCTTTCTCTCTCCTTAGTACCACTATGCCTCTGTTCATTTCAGACTATCTGAATATTTTTGGCACCTAAGACCCTCTAAGATGCAATTCTGGAAGATGAGAGGGTGACCTTGGCCACCCTTGCTCGCAAAACAAGCAAGTCACTCTTTGCACCGAGCCTGCTTCATCTTCTTTCTGTTCCTCCATTCAAGCTGCTTCTCTTGGCTCAGGTGCCAAGAACCTGCCCCACCCCCACCTCCAGCCTCCTCACTGCCTGGTCCCATAAATTGACAGGAGCGCTCAGATGGCGGCTGGTTTACCCTGCTCCCTGCAGCTCACCAGCCTCAGTCCCAGGCTGAGCAGATAGTCAGGTGCTCGTTAAGTGTCCATAGAGTGAATGAATGAATGAGCAAATGACTCCCAGGAAAGGGGCTGTGAGAACTGCTCTCAAATTTCAGACAGGGGAGGGTGGGCTGAAGGAGAGGAGGAGTCAGCAGAAAGGTGAAGGCCTCACTGAAACTGGCCAAGAGACCAGAGGTGAAGGAAACACCTGCTATGTTCTGCCCTAGGTCTGTCTGCGCAGACCTCTGAATCAGGGCCAGGGTTGCCCACCCTGAGAGCATGAGCATGTGACATCACCTGCACCCTCCCTGGAGCAGGCTGGAGGCCCTGAAGCTGTGCCAGTCTTGGTACTGCTGTGGGCCTCACGTGGGCTTATGGCCTGTCCTGTCCCACCCCCGCCCCGCACTGACCTTCTGCATGGCTGCACACAGGATGCCGTTCCCCTGGTGACACGGCACCTCCACAGAGCCTAAGAACTGCACGTCAAAGCGATCTACCCAGCAAGGGCTCCGCTTGCTCCCTGCAGGTGGGTGGGGGTCACAGGGACTCAGGTTAAGGGGTGATGTAGGGAAAAGTCTGGGTGACAAGCCCCCCAAGGGACGGAGTCTTACCCAGCAGGTCCTTGGCAGGGCCAGGCACAGCATGGGCATAGAAGGCGGGAAACACGCCACGCTCGCCAGTGCGCATGTTGAAGCCTCGGAACCAGAAGTCATCTTCTTCAGCCTCCACCAACACGGGGTCATCCACATCTAGCTCTAGCTCATCAGGATGGCGAGGGATGAACCTGAGGACAGGTGAGAGATCACTGAGATAGACCTGGCTGGGTTATGTCTGGCAGTGTCTCTGGAATGAGGCTGGGGATCACCAGGAGCAAGAGTGTAGCTATACCTGAAGACAGCACGGTGGGTCTGCTCTCTCTTCCCCATTGACCAGACAGGAAAAAAGGCCAAAGGACTCGGTGCCTGAGAGACAGAAGAGGCACAGATGAAGAGAGGGAGGGGCTAGAGGGAGGTGGGGAGAAATGAAATGAAAAGTACTGGCCTTGGGCTAGAGCTAAGTCCCCTTCCCCTAACAAGCTGTTGTGAGGTGTTCTAAGTCAAGCAGGGAGGGAGGACCAGCCCACTGGAGGCTGGGGCAGAGCAACCCCTAATTTCTGGCTCAAAGGGTATCTGAGGAAGATCAATGCTTATGTTTCAGGAAAAAAGGTAGCAGTCAGCCCTGACCATCCCCAGACCCTCAGACCTCCTGGGTACTTTGGGAGACCAGATGGGACCTAAGACTGGAGCAGTGCTTCTTCTTCTGGGGCTACCACTTCTTTCCCCACCTGCCACTCACTGGAGGATCGAGATGTGCTATTGACAAACACATTGAGGAACTTCTTGGAGAAAGTGAGGTCGGGACTGTCGGGAGAGGCATCCTCCAGGACCTGATCGCCACCTAGCAGTGCAGCCCCTGCCTCTTCCTCACTGGCCTCTCCACTGCTGTCGTCTTCACTGTCGTTGCCTAGGCCTGCACAGCGCCGCAGGCTCACCAGCTCCAGTTGTGTGTGCTCATCCACCACCAGCGTGTACTTCACTGCGTCATATACCAGCGAGGCGTCCATCGGGGCAGTGGGGCCCGTACCCCTGCTCCTGGGTGGGGCAACGCTGTCCTCGGCATCCTCCTCATCCTCCTCGTCGTCCTCCTCCTCCTCCGAGCAGGCGGCAGAGCAGGCGCTGCCAGAGCGGGTAGCGCGGCCAGGTGCGGCCCACAGCGGAGTGATGGTGTCTCGGGTGGGGTTGCTGAGAAAAAGGCAGGGCCCAGGCTGTGCAGAGCCCAGCCGAGGCGCTGCGGGGGCCGGCGGTGGCGGCCCACACAGCGTCTCCATGTCCACCAACTCCACACCAGGACCCGCTGCTGCCGCAGGGTCTTGGGAGTCCTCTGTGGCCACGCCAGCCTGTGATGCAGGCTCCCCCGGCAAGCGTGGCGCCGGAGACAGGCACTGGCCAGGGCAGCGGATGGGCGAGGAGCCCTCAGAGATCATGCGGCTCACCAGGTTGCTGAGCAGCCAAGGCGAGTCGGCCTCCTCGCTGAGGTCGGGCTCAGACTCGGAGCCTGACTCATACTCGCTGTTGGTGTCATCAGGGCCCACAGGAAGGAAAGCAGGGCGACGCGGGGGTTCATGGGGAGGCTCGGGCTCTGGCTCCGAGGCTGGAGATGAGGCTTCCTCAATGGAGTTAGTGAGGTGTGAGGAGCGACCGCTGCTGCTGCTACCACCGTCGCTACTCAGCTCCAGCTCAGTTTCCGAGATGGAGGAGATCATTCGGCCCAGGCGTGCGCCACCGGCATCCTCTGAGTCCGACCCTGGCGATGACAGCTCCTGGCTGCTGCGCCGACCCCCATGGCCCCCACTTGAGCGGCTTCTCAGGTCAGCCTCAATGCCAGGATCAGAGGAGGGTGATACCCCACCTGGCACTGGGGGATCTGGGGGTCGGTTGCCTTCACAGTCGCAACCTGGGCACACCAGAGACTGTGCTTCTCTGGGCCCCTCTTCCATGGGTTGGAGGGGGCCTGGGAGCTCTGCAGGGCAGGGGTACAGGTCACTGTCACCACAAGCCAGACCACTTTCTAGCAGTCAGCCTGTTCTCCCTTCCTCCCCGGTATGCCCCTGCCAGCCCCCAACCCCTCACCTCTGAGGGGCTCCTGGGCTGGTGAACACAGCACTGTCTCCTGCCAGGAGGCTGTGGGCTCCGGAGCAAAGTCTCCATTGTTGTTCAGGGAGTCCTGGGTTGGAGGGACAGACAGAGCTCTGAGGAGGGTTCCAGAAACCAGGGGTGGGAGGAACCTAAGTCATGGGGTATAGTCCAGGTGCTATTAACCCAGGTTTGACTCTTAGATGCTGTGGGTCAGGAGGCTCACCTGGGCTCCCAGTGTAGTCAGGTGGAGGGTGGTGGGTCGGTGTTTGTGGGGCTCCTCCAGAGAAGGGGAGGGGATAAGGGGCTTTCCAGCAGGTGCCTCTGTGTGAGGTCCTTCTCCCTCCTTTCCTTCCCCATCTCCCTCCTCCTCATCTTCTTCCTCCTCCTCTTCATCCTCGTCCTCTTCCTCTTCTTCATTGTCATCTATCATCTCAAACTCCTGGAAGTCATCCTGGAAGGAGCAGATGGGATGCGGCTGCTCCGAGCGCCCCAGGGAAAGAGTGTCCTGCAGAAAGGAGGGAGATGGCAGGGATGGACCAGAGTGCCCAGTTCCAGATGCCAAGAAAGGGGAAAGCAGAGAGCAGAAATCAAGGGAGAGCCTCCTCCAGTTCACTCTGCCCCCACCAACAAAGCAAAGTTTTAAAAAATATGTTAAGACTATATAAATCACTCCATTTTTTTGATAAGGGGCCAAATTCCTGAGACTGTTCTCAGAGTGACCCCAACCATCTCACCCCCAAATTCCATCACATTCAACACTGGCACTGTGTCCTTCAAGCATTTTAACACACGATTCACAATTTCTGTTAATGGCTTTTTGGTCTGTCTCCTCCATCATAGTGCAAGCCTCACCAAGGCAGGGTCATATTGTAGACTGGTGCATCCACCCCTGGGCACAGCACCTAGGGCTTAGTGATGTTCAGTAAGTAGTAAATGAAACTGCTCTCTGAGACTCACTAAGCTTGCACAAACCCCAGGGCTTTTGGCAATCCTTCTGCTGACAATTTCTCTTCTCCACTGTCTCCTATATTCTCCATCTGCCTGGCTCTTCTTGCTAACCTCAGAGTACAGCTGACATTTCCTCTGTGAAGTTTCTTGACTCCCTCAGCCTGAACTGCATTCCCTTCGCCCCTTGTTTCACTTTGTCTCTGTTGGGAATTCAGTCCATGACATTTGGGTGGCCACTGTCTCTTACATGTGTTTCTCCCCTACTAAGCGGCAAGCTCTGGAGTATAGCTGTCATGTTCTACTCCTAGCACCTGAAAGCCCCCAGTACTTGCCACACAGCAGTTACTCGGATGAATGAAAATAGAAACATGGAGAGGCAGAGAGAATAACCAGGAGGCAGGGAAGAAAATATTTCAGGGGGAGACCTGAGACAGAAACAGGCTGTAGAGTTGAATGAGACAGCAGATGGAGGGGTTTGATCTCTGTGGGAAGTGATCTGAGCACAGCAGGTACCCAAATTCAAGGCACACCTCCCTCCCCAGAGTGATCAGGGAAAGTGCTAGGGAAGGCCCTCTGGAGGGCATACACTCTGGTAGAAAGAGGATTGATGCTGAGGAAACCCTTAGGCCAGGGGGCTAATAGCAAGAGCAATCAAAGGATTTCCTGCATCAGGGCTGAGATCAGACTCACCCAAAAACTCAAATGAACACTAGGCAAACAGAGCCTAAGTGAGGCTCTCCATTGATTGGGTTCTTTACACCCAACCCTTTCCCCACCTTCTCGCAGTGGTCTGAGTCGTAGCTGAGGCCCAGGCCACAGTCATCAGTGATCTCAGACAGGTCTTCATCATCAAATTCTTCCAAGCTTATGTCCTGCGGAGGCCTGGAGAGGATGCCAGGGTCAGAGAGCCTACAACCTTGGACTCCCCCTGCCTGGCAGCTGGTCCTGAGAGACTGGGAGGGAGATGTCCACTTCCTAAACTCCCAACTCCCAGGTCCACATTCTGACATCATCATGACCCCAAAGCACTGCTCTCCAGTGGATCTCCTCAGGCAGCCCAGAGAAACTACCCCTCCCCCTCCTCCCATCGGCCTCTGCTGAGCTGCAGGCCCCAGTGGGTCACAGCTTCAGCCTCAGGGGAGTCAGCAGGAGCCAGCAGGGAGAAGGGGAGCTGAAGCTGCGCAGAAGGGGAGGGAGGGGTCCAGTTTGCTCTGGTCAGTTGGTGTCCCCACAGCACCCACCAGGCAGGCCTATAATTCTAGAGGTCCGGTCCTCTCCCACCTCAGTCTCATCCCCACCCCCACTCCGGGCTCCAAGCTTGATTTCAGTTCTTTCGCTGCCTGGGCCCAACCGGCTAGGCCCTGGCCTCCATCAGAGGGGGCCAACAAGGCCAAAAGGACACAGCCAGGCACAGACTGCCTAAGAGGCTGCTCCCCTCAAAGGGTCAGTCCAGGGATCCCACCCATGACAGGTCAGCTGCCCGGGCTTGGTGCCGCTCAGTATCCCAACTGGAAATGAGGGGTTTAGGGCACTGGGTCTGAACGATAAGTGACAAAAACGGAGAGACCCCAGGGGTGGGGGATGGGCGGCGGCAGTCCGAGGCCTCGGGACCAAAGAGAGGTCTGGGCCTGGGTGGGCGAAGGCGGTGGGGTGGGGTGGCAGGGCGGGGCAGAGAAGCCTGGAGACTGGGTCCGAGGGGGCTTGGGAAGGCGAGAGCCGGCCGAGGCCTGGGGCCTCGAGCGCGTACCTGCAGCCCGGCGGCGACAGCGAGTGGAAGGTGGAGAGAGAAAACATCTCCGCGCGATCCGCCATCTTCCCGGGAAAGGCCGGCCGGCTATGGGGGGGAGGGGTGAGGAGCCACAGCCCGCGCCCTTGGCGCTCCCGCCCGCGGCCTCGGCCCTCCCCACTCACCTCGTGACACGCCCTGCGACACCCTCCCGCGACACACCTCGTCGCCCTGCCAGGACACCGCTGCAGCGAGCTCCCGCGCCGCAGGGGCGAGAGGAGGGAGCGGCGCGGGGCGGGGCCAGCGCGGGGGGCGGGGAGGTCGGGCTGAGGCTGGGGGGACGCCGAGCGGAAGACCTGGGGGCCTGCAGGAGGCTAGGGGGGATCGAGCGGTGGGTGGAGGTGTCGTGCGGAGGATGGGGGCCCGGGCTGAGGCTTGGGGGACGTCGGGCGGAGGATGCGGGGCGGGGGGGATCGAGCGGTGGATGGAGGTGTCGCGCGGAGGATGGGGGCCGGGGCCGAGGCTGTGGGTGTTGGGCTGAGGCAGGGCGGGGAGTTGGAGGTGGGCTGGGTTGGCCGGGGCTCTGGCGAGGAGGACTGGAGTGGTGCGCGGTTTGGATTTCGGGGCGCGAGGCAGGAGAGAAAGAAGGTAGGGGCGGGAGCGGCTCGAGGACCCGGCGTCTGCAGGCGGGGAGGGGTGGGTGAGGGCCTTAAACGAGGCTGCAGCGTGCTCTGTTTGTTGAAGGGGGGCGGCTCGCCCAGGGTGGGTGCGGCCCTAAGAGCTCGCGAACACCCCACGGACCGGGTAGAGCAGACTGCGGGTGCAACGCGAGCGCATTCGCCAGGTTCACAGCTCAGCTAGGGCTGCGGGAGCTGTCCGCCCCTGAGTGCTGATCGGGGACGGATGGAGCTGTCCCGCAATGGGTGCTGATTGGGCCGACAGAGCTTTCTCCCTAAAACATGCAGACCAGAGCCAGACCATCCATTTCCCCGACCGGTGCTGACCACAACTGGGCATACGTCTGCCCAATGGGTGCCGATGAGCTCTGGATTCAGAGTCCGCCAGCCAGCGGCAAGCATTGAACTTTCCGTGCATGGTATAGACTGCAGTCTTGACAGGTGTATTGCTGGACGCTAGATGTTATAATCCTGAGGCTATGTTCATTCAACTGAAACACTGTTTCTTGAGACCATCTATGTTCTTGGCTCTATTTAGGCGATCAACAAGCTCTGGCTTGAAGCTCCAGCTTAGTGAGGAACTCTCTGTGTGGTGAGAGAAGCTAGCTGTGAAAGTGAGGGAGGGCAGATCAGGGTAGAGAGGGACAAGTTGGGGAGGAAGAACTAAGAAGGTGGTTTGTCCCGAGTTTCCATATCAAGTGCAATGAAATTTCCCTTTTTCTCATGATGAAAAGTGTTTGAAAGGTGTAATTATTTGTGAGATTTCTTTCTTTACTCATAAGGATTTCTTTTACTGTTCTTTCCTTTAAGGCATAACAGAACTTAACCTATGACTTTGGATTCCTTATGCAAATGGAGATAGGAAAATACCATTTACTTAACACCATATTATGCTTGTTTGCTGGTGGCAATCCAGAAAAGATGATGATGCAAGAGAGAGGATTAGTTTCAAGAGGGGAGTTGAAACAATAATAATAAAGACTTTAAAAAGAGAAAGAGAGAAGGGAGTTGGGTGGGCAATGAGAGGTAAAAGGATCGATGGACTGGAGATCTGTGGTGATTTCAAAAAGACAGCCCCCAAGTGCTCTCCTCCCAGTGAGATGTGATTCTAGGACTCCTCTTGAACCTGCATAGATTTATGACTGCTTTGGCAATATATATGACAGAAATTACAGCATATGCCGAGGTCAGAAAAGGCCATGTGGCTTTGACCTGGACCTTGACCACCCTCAGACCACCATACTTGGAGAGAAGCCACTGAAGGTGCTGGAGATAGTCTGAACTCCCAACAGACACTTGGTATCAAGCCATGTCAGATACCCAGCCTAGCTCACCTTTGACTGCATCCAAACCTCAAGAGAGATTCAGGCAAGAATCCCCATCAGTGTTTGCAGAGTCTCTGATCCCAAACTCTAATCAGAGTAAAATGGAGGTTTGATCCACTAAATTTGAGGATAATTTGTTACACAGCAATGGTGATTGGAACATGTTTCTTATGGGGTCAAAGACTTGTGGGTGTCATTGTACTGTAGCAACAGAGCAAGAAAAGGGCCCAAGTTTTGGTGCGTACCTGTAATCCCAGTGACTCAGGAGGCAGAGGAAAGAGGGTCAAGGCTCAAACCAGCGTGTTGAGACCCTATCTCAAAAATAAGCCTGGAGTGTGGTATGCAGATGTAATCCCCATTATATGGGAGACATTTTTGCCAGCCTGGGCCAAAAGCTTGAAACCCTATCTGGAAAACAAACTAAAAGCAAAAGGATTAGGGGTGTATCTTGAGTGGTTAAAATCAAGATTCAGAAGGTGGTGAAGTCATTGAGTAAATGACAGCAGCCCTGACACAATGTCTCACTGATCTTTATTAAACACTTCTATTTGCAGTTTCAACCACTGGTATTTTGTGATTTCTGTGTAATATCAACAGAATATGGGTTAAGAGATAAATCTCACAAATAATTACACCTTTCAGAAAACAGATTTCTACTAGTGCAGAAGACTATTGTGGAGCTGACAGAGTGGCTCAAGCATAGAGCACCTGCCTAGCGAACAAGAAGCCCTGAGGTCAAACCCCAGTGCCACAAAGAAGAAGGAGGTGGAGGAAGAGGAGAAGAAGACTATTATGACAATGAATGAGAGCTGAAGTTTTTAAAGAGATTGCTACCATGGAGAGTGATCCCTGAAATCTGCTTTGTTTGTTTTTTGGTGGGACTGGGGTTTGAACTCAGGGCTTCACACTTGCAAAGCCAAGTGCTCTACCACTTGAGCCATCTCTCCAGCCCATTTTGTTCTAGTTACTTTGGAGATGGGGGTCTCTCATGAACTTTTTGCCTGGACTGGCCTCATACCATGATCCTATCTCAGCCTCCCAAGAAGCTAGGATTACAGGCATGAGCCACCAGCACCCAGCTTGCTCTTAAGACTCCTTCACATAAAAGTACATGCCTAAGGACAAGTTTTTCTTTATGGTACTGGGATTTGAACTCATGGCCTCACACCTGCTAGGTAGGTACTCTACACTTGAGACACTCCACGAGCCCTTTTTTGTGTTCGGTAATTTTGAGAAAGGATTTCAAAAACTATTTGCCCAGACTGGCTTCAAACCTCAATCCTTCTGATCTCTGCCTTCTGAGTAATTAGGATTATAGGTGTGAACCATGGTGCCCAGCCCCAAGGACAGTTTTGTTTAATAAAGAATAGGACATTTATAGTCTTCACTGCACCAATGTCATAGTTCCAAAGAGGTATGCATTGGCACCTTGATAAAAATTACTCTCAAAATTATGAATCTCAGAGAAATACTATGGTAAGTGCAAAGCATTCCAGGAGATACCAAGCTGGGGAATGTTGGAGAGCATGACTTCTCAAGTTTCCCAGTTTCCTCCCAAAGATGTAAAGTTGATGGACATGGTGTGCTGCCTAGCAGGGACAGTTGGTAGGCTGTAGGAAATCCCAACTGAAAATATAATCTGCTCACAAAATTATCATTCTAGAACTCCAGCATGATTACCTCATTTGGTAAACAAAAATTGCCTTTATCAGCTATATCCTCTGAGCTAATAGGTTCTAGGTACAATCATGCTACATAGACCACAGGTTAGATAATGTTCCGGCAGTTGGCAAAACAGCAGTCCTTCCTGTTTTTGCCTCATTTTTCCCACCCACTCACTGAAGTTTCTTGTACCACCAAATAAACTCTTTGTATTTGAACCCTTGTCTCAGACACTTCTGAGACCTTTAAGACAATGGTGGCCTTTTTGTTTTTGTGGGTTTTTTGAGACAGGGTCTTGCTATGTAATCCAGGGTAGTCTTGAACCTGCAATCCTGTTTCAACCTCCCAACTGCTGAGATTTACAGGTGTGAGTTATCACACCTGGGCTACTTTTTTGTAGAACTGGAGTTTGAACTCAGGGCTTCACACTTGCAACAAAGGTACTCTACCACTTACGCCACATTTCCTGTTCATTTTGGTCTGGTTATTTTGGAGATGGGGTCTCACAAACTATTTGCTAAGGCTGGCCTTGAACTGCAATCCTCCCCATTTCAGTCTCGAAAGTAGCTAGGATTACAGTCATAAGTCACTGGTCCCTGGCTCTGGCCTGCTGTTTCTTCACAGTGCTTCTTGCCATCTGACATGCCACTTCATGCATTCTAGTGATTAATCTTATTTACTTTCTCTCCTCGTTAGACTATAAGCTCCAGGAGGGCAGAGGAGAAAGTATGGACACAGACACACTCGGAGGGATAATTACGTGAAAACAGAGAGAAAGGCAGCTGTCTGCAAGCCAAGAAGAGAGGCTACAAAAGAAACCACCTCAGATTTCTGGCCTCAAGACTGTGGAGCTGCACAGACTATCCTTGTTTCAAGAGAAAAAAGATATCTAGGTCAAATATTTACTGTTCACCATCATGTCCAGGTCTCATTCCCCTGTTCTCTGCTTCTGTGGCTGCTGTGAGAAGGTGCCTCTCAGGCACCCCAGTGGTGTTTTCCTTGCCAGCTGTACATACAATGTCTGCATCTCTGGCATTCTGAAGTTTCAATTTGGTGAATATTGGTGTGGATTTATTTCATTTTTTTCTGCCTGAAGTTCACTGAACTTAACTATATGAATCTCTCATTGATGTAGAAATTTCACAATCATTATCTTGAAATACTACCTCTGAGCCAGGCATGGTAGGGTAATGCCTGTGATCCCAGCACTCAGGAGGCTGAGGCAAGAGATCTGAGTTTGACACCAGCCTGGACTACACAGTGAGACACTGTCCCAAAACAACAGAAAAAGAAAAAAAGAGTTCCATCTGTTTTTCCCTCTGTTCTTCATTCCAGTTAGACTCATGTTGAATTTTATTGCTCTATCCTCCTATCTTCTCATGTTTTCCATAGCTATGTCTTTTCATCCAATATTCTGGATAA